GGGAGTAGTAGTTTCGGCCTCGTGGCTGTGGTTCTGGACTGGATGGCCAGGAACTCGCCTTCCCGGCTACCTGTGCAGCAGGGCGGGGCGCCTCGGCCGGTTTGGCAGGGCGGGGCGCCTAGCGAAGATGGTGGTGCGCGCGGCGTGTGGCTCCCGTCGCCTGCCTGAGCCTCAGCTCCGCGCAACGGCCGGCGTCTCGCTGGTCTGGAGCCCCAGTCCGCCGGGTCCCTGACCCCGCGCCCCTCGCGCCCGATTCCCGGGATGCCCCGCGCCCGTAAGGGCAGCGCGCCCCGCAAGGGCGGCCAGCGCCGCCGAGGCGGTAAGTGTGGGCTCGGGCAGCTGATGAACGGCGAGCCGGGGACCCTCTGTGGTCCCCGTCGGTGTCCCTAAGGGTCCTGGGCGGGAACGCCTGCCTGGACCCGCCTGGCGCCGCTTCCCGCAGCTCCCCCGCGGCCCGCACGTGCCCCACGACACGGCGGCCACGTGTGCGCCCCACCTGAGCGCGCTGCTCGGTCTGGAGCCTGCGCTCCCGACGCTAACACGGTGGGCGCCTCCTGACTCGGTTTCCCCGTTGCTCCCTCGCCCTAGCTGCCTGCTTTGTCAGCCACACCCGCAGGACAGAGAAGGAAGCTCGCCCCTCCCCAGCCACTGGCCCTTTCTTGGACTGGACTAGAAAGTTGGTGGGAGGCCTGGGGGAGAACCGAGGGTGGGGGGCGATGGGGAGTTGGGGGACTGCGGCCTCGGTGGACCTGGCCCTAGACGGCGGGTGGAGCCCTGGGGCCTGAGGCAGCCCTGGGAGCTTATCAGCGGGGACCAGGAGAGTGTCCTGGTGCAGTAAACACATGTTAGTTTGCACGGGTGGGGTGGGGTGGGGTGCCCGCCAGGCACAGCAGAGACCCGGGCTTGGGTGGGAGAGCATCTAAGAGGGTCGTGATATTCCAGAATGGCTGGTTGTGGGGGGAGCTCACGGAGTGTGTCAGCCCCAGAGGTAGGCAACCTAGGAAGCCTCAAGGCGGAGGCTTCTGGGGGAGCCCTGAGAAGGGGAAGGAGAGAGAGCCATGGGGAGGGGGCAGTTGTGCAGAGGCCTGGCCTCTGGGGGGCGGGGCACGGTGGGGCGCCCGAGGGGAGGCTGGGCCGCCTGGCTGGTGGGAGTGAGAGGATATGAGCAGAGGCCTGCGTGGGGGTTGGACTTTGTCCCCAGGCGCATGGAGAACGTGGTTCCTGAGAGGTAGGACCAGCCTGATGACCAGACCCCTTGGGGCTCAGCTGTGACCACCGCCCTGGCCAGGGCAGAACCTACCCGCACGAGTGTTCAATTCTGCTGAGTCGGACGCTCCCGAGTTAGCGTTTTCAGGGGCTCCTGCAGTCAGGGCCGCTCACTGTCTGCACCTCCCAGGGCAGGAGGAACCTCTGTGTTCACCCACCCAGGGCTGAAGGCCTGGGATGGACCCAGGGGAGCTCAGAAGGCAGTGTGCTGGAAGCCTGGGCACCCACCCACATCCCTGGGACCTGGGCTCTGCCCCCAGGGCCGGTGGGTGAGGGATGAGCTTGTTGGCTCACAGAAGCGCCTTAACTAGTCACTTACTTAGTCGTTGTCTTCACTTGCCCTGACCTGGTTGCACCCCTGTTCAGAGGTGCAGCTGGGATTTGAACCCTGGGTCTGTCTCATTCTGTAATCCAAGTCCCTGACTCCTGCTCTGGCCATTTGGGGACATAATCTGGGCAGGTGACAGCTCCCCCAGGGGAGCCTAGGGATGCTTCCACTTCAGGCTGGGCCCCAGGCTCCCTGGGGCCTGTACGGCCCCTTCTGCCTCCACCTGGCTTGCGGTCTCCATAAGGCTCTGATCTTGGGTCGGCTCTTCAGGGGTTCCTAGGCTGGGCCTGGTAGACCTCACTCCCTTTCTCCTGCTTCCTGGCTCAGCCCCTGTGCCTCCCACCTCAGCCTTGGTTTTCTCATCTCTGAGAGGGGCAGCATCCTGTCTGGGGGGCCATGAGGCTGTGTGAGGCACCCCAGCCATCACTCACCCATGGAGGCAGGCCAAATGGCCCGTTCCACCCTCCCCAGGTGCTCAGAGCAGCGCCCAGGCTGACTCGGGTTCCAGTGAGGACGAGGCGGCCAGTGAGGCCCGAAGCACCACCAGCGACTGCCCCAGCCTTCTCAGCACCGCGGCGGAGGACAGCCTGGGTGAGAGCGCGTGGGGGTTTGGCAGGGACTCGGTGGGGCCTCCGGGGCCAGGGCAAGACGCAGGGCTGACCAGGTGGCCTTGCAGGGGGGGATGCCGTGGACGAGCAGAGCCAGCAGGAGGACCTTGAGGAGAAGCTGAAGGAGTATGTGGACTGCCTCACAGATAAGAGGTACCCTGGCTGCCAGCCAGCCCAGCTGCCATGTCCCTGCTCAGCCCCTGGCAGATGTGGCCCAGGTCGGGCTGGCCCACAGGACACCCTTCTTCATCCCCCAGTGCCAAGACCCGGCAAGGTGCTCTTGAGAACTTGCGCCTGGCCCTGGCGTCCCGCCTGCTCCCCGACTTCCTGCTGGAGCGCAGCCTCACACTGGCCGATGCCTTGGAAAAGTGCCTCAAGAAAGGTTGGATGTGGGGCACGTGGGGACCTGAAGTGGCCTGGTGCTGACCCCGGGGCATGGCTGACTGGACGCGTCCCCGCAGGGAAGGCCGAGGAGCAGGCGCTGGCCGCCGCCCTGCTAGGCCTGCTCTGCGTGCAGCTGGGTCCCGGGCCCAAGAGCGAGGAGCTGTTCCATGGCCTGCAGCCCCTGCTGGTGTCGGTGCTCACTGATGCCGCGGCCAGCCCTTCCGCCCGGCTCCACGTGAGTGCCATGCCCGCGACACCCTCCCCTCCCCATCCCTACGAAGAGAGGTGGCTCCTCCTGCCTCCAGGCCCCCTGCTCCGAGGCTAAGCCCCAGCTGGGAACCAGGGCTCACTCCTGACCGTCGCCTGGCTTCGTTCTCCCAACAGTGTGCTTCTGCTCTGGGCTTGGGCTGCTACGTGGCTGCGGCTGACGTCCAGGTACATGGCCTCTAGGCACGGGGGGTAGAGCACCCAGGCCCTCGCTCCGCCCTGAGCCACTCCCCTGCCTCCCTGTGCCCCTAGGACCTGCTCTCTTGCCTCACCTGCTTGGAAGGGGTTTTTAGCTGGTCTTGCGATGCGGGCGGCTCCACAGCCCCTGCCAGCCTGCATGGCCTGTTCCGTGCCACCCTGCAAGCCTGGGCATTGCTACTCACCATCTGCCCCAGCAGCCACATCAGCCACATCCTTGACAGGTAGAGGCGACTGCCCAGGGGGTGCGGGAGGGGAGAGTGAAGGAGCCCCCAGCCCATACACGCAGCTCAGCTCGCCCCCTCCCCAGGCAGCTGCCCCGGCTGCTCCAGCTCTTGTCCAGTGACACTGTGAACCTGCGGATTGCCGCCGGCGAGACCATCGCACTACTTTTTGAGCTCGCCCGGGACCTCGAGGTGTGAGGGGAGGGCGCCTGCTGACACCACGTGCCACCCCAGGCCCATGCAGGGGGTGCCACAGAAGACAGGGCAGCCTTAGGTCAGGGCGGAAGTAGCCCCAGCACAGACTCAGGTGCCAGGGCCTGTGCTGGGGGCTCTGAGCAGGGTTGTCTGGCCGAGGCAGGGGTCCAGGCGGGGCTCAGGGGCCCAGGCAGAGAAGAAAGCGACTTCCTCAGTGAAAGGCAGGGTTTGGGCCGCCCGTGTGGAGCCAGCAGAGCTCAGGCTCCTGTGCACCCCGGCCCGCCCCGCCCCTGCAGGAGGACCTGACCTACGGGGACATGGACGCCCTCTGCGGCGCTCTGCGCACTCTGGCCACCGACAGCAACAAGTACCGCGCCAAGGCCGACCGCCGGCGCCAGCGCGCCACTTTCCGCGCGGTGCTGCACTTCATCGAGGTGCGTGTGCGAACTGTGGCCCAGCGAGCGTGTCCCCAGGCCCGCCCGCCCGCCAAGCCCGGTCTCACGGCCCCTCTGCCCCGCAGGGCGGCGAGTGTGAGGAAGAGACCATCCGCTTCGGCCTTGAGGTGCTCTACGTGGACAGCTGGGCCCGGCGCCGAGTCTACGCCGCCTTCAAGGATGTGCTGGGGTCGGGCATGCACCACCACCTGCAGGTGGGGAGGCGGCAGGGAGGGGGCACCCGCGCGTCCGCTGCCCACGGGCCGCGCTCACTGTCCTCTCCGCCCAGAACAACGAGCTGCTCCGCGACGTCTTTGGCCTGGGCCCCGTGCTGGTGCTGGACGCCGCCGCCCTGAAGGCCTGCAAGGTCTCCCGGTTTGAGAAGGTTTGCGCCCTCGGCTCCTGTGTTTTCCCTTTATTCCCGCTGCCTGGAGTTCTGCAGAGAAGCCCTCCCCCCCAACCCCCACCCCCGGCTCACAGATCCCCACTCTGCCCCGCCAGCACCTGTACAACGCAGCCGCCTGCAAAGCGCGGACCAAGGCGCGCAGCCGCGTGCGGGATAAGCGGGCAGACGTCCTGTGAGGAGACGCCACACCCTGCCCAGGTTTCTCACAGAAGACAGTGCAACAGCCAGAAAGTGTCGCTTTATTTTTTTAATGGCTAAACCAAAAACAGACGCGGGGTGGGTGGCTGGAGCCAGGCCACTTGGGACCCTGGCTCTCTGCCCCTGCACCCAGCCTGTGGCCCCTGCCTGCCCTGTCTGGGTCAGGCCCGATGCGCCCATCCCGAGCTGTGCTCAGGCCTGGCTCCCCTGGGGTGAACCACTTCCCTGAGGAGGGTGGGGTGGCATCTGGACAAATGTCACCACAACAGGTGGGGAGGGGAGGCCCCTGGCATGGCTTTATGTGCGGGTTTTTAAAGACTATTAGAGGTAATTAAACTGAGTGCGCAGCCTGCTGTGGCCCTGGCTTCTGGGTGTTTGCCTGCTCCCCCGCCCCCCACCACGACCCCAGCTTGGGCCCAGCTCCACCTCGCCTGTGCCCTCCAGAGCCTCCCCAGATGGCCCTCCTACTCAGCCTGGTCTGTCTTGAGAGCTGAGGCTGGAACCCTTCTGGGAAGCTTGGCAAAGTTGGGGTGGGGGCAGCTGTTTCTAGACTTGGGAACCTGCTCTCTGGGGAGGCCAAGGAGTGTTGGCAGGCTGCAGGGAGAGCCCGGAGGCTGGCATCGCCGCCTCTGACCTTGGGCCACCCAGAGCCGGGCCTTGGCCCCAGGAGACCTGGCTAGGCCTGGCCGGAAGAAGCCAGGAGAGGCGGTCAGCTGTGGGGCAGATCAGCTTCTTGCACAGAAACCTCACCAGGAAGTAGGTGGAGCAGCAGTGGGAGAGGAGAAACCTGCCAAGGGCCGCTTTATTCCCCCAACACACCCCCGACTCCAGGCCCAGGCAAATCTCAGCTGGGCGCTCGGGCCTCGCTGGAGTTGAGCCTCCGCAGCTGGCTGAGGCTGGCCAGCCGCAGCTTGAGTAAGGTCTCCTCCTGCGCGTGCAGTGTGTGCGCCATTGTGCGGAGGGATTCGCTCTGCAGCACTGCGGATGGCGGGGATGCGGTTATGAGACCATGTGCCCCTCCCCCTCACACACACACACACACACACACACACACACACACACACACACACCTCCCCACCCCCCACCTGTCCAGCCCGGTGCCAAGGTGCTGTGAACCCCACCCACCCGGCACTGCCTCCGCCTCTCCAGTGGCTCCGCCAACCGCACGGGTTCCAGTCCCACTCCCTGGCCCTGGGTTCCCACTGGCCTTGCGCGCCCCCGTACCGCTCAGGTAGACCCCCAGGATGGCCAGCGCCAGGCAGGTGAGCACCAGCAGAGCGAGCAGCAGCAGGAAGCCCCCGCGGCTGCAGCCAGGAGGCAAGAGGCCCAGCAGCTCATCCCATGGCTGTGCCTCCTCGGCCAGGTAGGGGCACAGCAAGCCTGCGGGGCAAATGGGGGCATCAGGAGAGTAATGGGGCGCTGGCTTTCCTCTCCCGCGCCCCCCGCCTCCTCACCTCCGCTGTGCAGGTCACTGATCGACTCCACCCGGAGCAGGCGCACCTCCTGCACGTGGTTGGCCAGTGATGCCCTGTTCCCCGGGCTCAGCGTCGGTGCCGCCGCCGCGGTGTCTGCTGGGGCGGCGCAGGGTTGATTGAGCCAGTGGGCCACCCCTTCCTTCTGGGGGCCTTTCAGAGGCAGCATGGGTTCCGAGAAGACGGGGACAGGACGAAGGGACACGGGCTCTCAATCCCCTAAATGCAGCTCCGGAATTTGGGAGCCAGGATAGCCCCGAACCCCATGGGCCCGATTCACCCCCGGAGCAGGAGATGCACTGACTCCCTTGGTGTGTTTCCCCGCAAGCACCTCGGGGACTGCAGGTGCCCTGCTCGCTCACTGCCGGAGAAGAGCGGACCGGCCTCGGGGCTGAGCCCACAGCATGTTCACTCCGGCCTCCTGCCGTTTCCGGGCTGACCCTGGGAGTCAGCCATCAGGCCGGAGCCTGGAGACCCGGCCCCGGGGAGCGCAGCCACCCGGCCCGCCAGCCTCTGGCCCGGGCTGTGCTCTGTAACACGCCCCGCTGCTGCTTTCGCTCAGCGTCACGGCCGGAGGCCTGCCTGGCCCCGGGCGCCTGCTGGCCGCCTGGGCATTTGGGTTGTCCCGGTTCCCTGTGGAATTAGTAACCCCAGCAAAGGACGGCCATCGCTGAGGGTGGCGGCTTCTCTCCGTGTCCCAGGAGTGAATAAGGACAGATTCTGAGAAGCAGAATTAATGGGTCCAAAAGCAGGGACTTCTTTAAAAATCTATCTTCAAATTGTCCTCCAGCATGGCTGCCCACAGCCCCCAAAAGGGCACACCATTGCCACCATTAGGCATCTCCACTGAAAAAATGTACATACACACATGTGTACACATACATGTGCTAAGTTGGGAGATGGAAAAGGCCTTTTTTGACCCATTTGATTGGGTCGCTGCCTGGGGGTGCCTGATATGTGTGTGGGTCCCTAATTATCCATTCACAGCCTCTACCCAACACTGGGATCTGTGTACTTTTCCTGGACTTATTTTTGGATCCATCTAAGTATTTATTTTGTGACTTCTAAAGGTTATATTTTTCTTAAAAAACAGTTATTTTTTCTTTGTTGCTAATCCTCACCCGAGGATATTTTTCCATTGATTTTTAGGGAGAGTGGAAGGGAGGTGGAGAGACAGAAATATCGATGTGAGAGAGACACATCGGTTCATTACCTTCCACACGTGTCCTGACCAGGGCCAGGGATCGAGTCTGCAACCTAGGTATGTGCCCTTGACCAGATGGAACCTGGGGTCCACAGAGCCAAACCGGCTAGGGCAAGCTATATTTTCTTTGTTATTTGTCTTGATTTTAAAAATAAGTTTCAAGTGTTCATTTCTATGATACATGATCTGCAAATTGCATTGTGTACCCACCACCAAAGGCAAATCATCATCTTCTGACCCCCCTACAATATTGAAAGTGTGATGGGGGCGTGACTAGCTCAGCCAGGCTGGCCCTGCAGCCTGCGGGCCCTGCTTGGCCCCTTTTGCACGGGAGGGGCAGTGGCGAGTGGCCATCAAAGTCTTAACTAGAGTCACTCTGACCAGCCAAGGGACCCCAACCTTGAGCCAAGTGGGGCCACTCAGGCCCAAGTTGGAGGGAGCCAGAAGCCTAGCTCCCCCCAGGCCCTGGGCCATGGGCCCAAATGCCACTGCCCACCCCCAAGGACAGCTTCTTCCCTGAAGGAAGAGCTGAACTGGCCAGGCAGCTGCCCCACCCACACCCACTTGGCTGCAGCCTGTGGTTAACCCTCCCCCTACGGGTGGCTCCCCCAATCCCTCCCTGCCGGCCCCGGGGAAACAGGCAGGGCCTGAGGTGAGAGGGTCCAGGCCGGGGTCTTCCTCCATGGACAGGTGCAGGCCCCATGGCGTGAGCTGGGACATGGTGACTGATGAGTAACTAAGGGAGTGAGGTCAGTGGACGGGGCAGATTTCTCCCGGGTCCACAGGGTCATCATTTTGGGGCCATGGCCTCCCTCAGTCACCTACCTTGCTGGGTCTCCTCTGGCATGATGGGGTGGGCAGTCAGGGCCCGATGTCAGCCCCAGAAGGAGGACAGGATGGAGGCAGCAGTGGCTCCTCAGAGAACCCGGGGAAGGCCTGGCTGCCTCCCAGCCCGGGCCCAAAATAAGCCTGAGCTCAGCCCACTGGGCTATATTTAGAGGGGAAGGAGCAGAGTGACTGGCATGGGCCAGTGCGGGCTCTTGGCTGGCGATGGAGCCCCGACCAGGGCAGGCTTCCACCAGTGCACGTGCCCGGGGGCTTCCCTGGGACCCTCCCACTCCCATACATACGCCAGCCCAGAGCCTCAGGCGCACCTCCAGCAACACCCCAGTGGCAGCCTAGACATGTGGGGGGCCCTGTGCCTCGCCACCGCAAGACCCCTGCCCACAGCTGGGTGGTCTCTCCAAGCAAATGTGAGATAAGCACCCATCACCGTCTGACCTGCTGGCACCAGGGGCTGAGGGTGATGGACAACCGGAGCCCAGAGAACCCTAAAAGGGGGCAGATCGCCCCATCCAGGCGGGCAGCCATGCTCAGCCGGAGGACCTAACTTGAAGGCTGGTTCGTCTGTTACTAAGCCTGCAGCCCTGTGTGAAGGATTGCCCCGTCTGACCCGTTTTCTCATCTGTAAATAGGACGGACCCTGGCTCCTCCTGCACAGAGCACAGGAGCCTGGGAAGAACCACCCCACTGACGCTGCAGTGTTTTGATCCCCTTTTCACAGAGGCTGCCCAAGGATGAGGGGTGCCGCCTACCCTGAACGGAGAGAGGCCCAGCCCAGGGCCCACCCTCTGCTGTTAGGTCGGTCACTCCTTCCCAAAGGGGACAAAGCAGGACTGGGGCGCTGCCTCAACACCCAGCCAGTACTCCACTCCGCTGTCTCACACTGGCCTCCTTGACTCTTCTTTCCCATTTAGTTTTATTGATGTCAGAGAGGAAGGGAGAGGGAGAGAAACATCAATGATGAGAAAATCATTGATCGGCTGCCTCCTGCACACACACCCCCCACTGGGGATTGAGCCCGAAACCCAGGCACGTGCCCTGACTGGGAATGGAACCTGGGACCCTTCAGTCCACAGGCCGATCGACACTCTATCCACTGAGCCACACGGCTAGGGTGCCTCCGTGACTTTTCTAACACAGCAAGTTTGTGCCCAGTTCAGGGCCTTTGCACTGCCTCTTCCCTGCCCGGACGTTCTGCCCCAGATGCCCCCATGGCTGGCTCCCCGTCACTTAGCTCAAGTGTCACGCCCTTCTGCCCACATCACCCACTTTTACTTTCTCCATAGCACTGCGCCCAGAAATTGTATCATTGAGGATCTACTGTGCATGTCAGCATCTCCACAGGCCCCATAAGACCCGCTCAGGCACATGGTGCCAACTTTAACCTCTTAGGAAAAACGTCCCGAAGCTGCCAGGAAGATGCCCAAGGCCACACAGCGAGGCCTGGGGCCAGCGTGTCTGCTGGGGCCACTCCGGCGTCAGCGGATAAAGTGTTTATTGCATTAGTACAGTGGGCCGCCCCCAGCGCCGCCCGCTCACAGCGTTCTGCTTCTGGCCCGCGAGGCCCCTCTCCCAGCGCCGCGCTTCTGGCGCCCTGCTTCCCTGCCACCTCCGACCAGCCGGACCCTGCGCCCGGGGCTACAGTCAAGGTTATCCTGTTAATAAATAAGCCGGCGCGGCTGCCCCTCGGCCAGAGCCTGTCGGTCCGTGTCTCGGTGGGCCGGGGCCGCGCGTGCCCGCGCCCCATCCGTCTGTCTCCCGGGGTCTGTCGGCCCCTTCTCCAGCCCGTCGTGTCGTCTCCCCGGTTCCCGGCGCGGAGCCGGGAGTCACCAGTGCGCGGCGCTCCGGGGCCCCCGCTCGGCGCGCGGCTCGGGGACGTGCGTCCGCCGGTTGCGACCCTTCCTCCCGGGCTCGGGCGGCGCGGGCTGCGGCCGGCACATGCGCAGGGAGCTCGCGCCGCCGCCGCCCGGCTCCACCAGCTGCAGGAAGTCCCGGTACCAGAGCTTGGGGCCCGGCGGCGCGACGGGCGCCGCCTCCTCGCTCCGGGCCAGCCTCGCGGCCTGCGCGGCGCTCAGCACGTGCAGCACCAGGCGGCGCAGCGGCCGCGAGAAGCCCTGCTCCACCGCGGCGCACAGGTAGGCGCCCGCGTCCGCGCGCCGCAGCCCGCGCAGCAGCAGCCCCCGCGCCGTGCGCTCCGCGCGCTCCTCCGCCGGCACCTGCGGGCGGGCCTGCGTGAGGCCGGGAACGCGCTCCCGGCCCCCGCGTGGGACAGGGAGGTGGGGTGGGTGGGCGGGGCGTGGGGAGGGAAGAGCGTGGATCGGGGGGCCAGGTCCACGGTGGCCGAGTGGGAGCGGCAGAGGGGCGCGCGCAGACGCACATCTGAAGGCCGAGGGCTGGCGGGCCAAGGTGTTCAGGTGGGAACCCGAACCCGGAGGGGTTCTTCTGACTCCGGGGGCGGGTCAGGGCTCTCAATAGGCGGGGCTTTTCTCGTGTGTGTGTGTGTGTGTGTGTGTGTGTGTGTGTGTGTGTGTGTGAGAGAGAGAGAGAGAGAGAGAGAGAGAGAGAGAGGGGTGGGGGGGGGGGAGGGAGCGGCCGGGAGCCTAGGCTGCAGGAATGGGCCTCACCTGGAGGGGGACCAAGCTGGACGGGAGGGACTAGGGGGCGGAGCCTCTGGGCGGGGCGGGGCCTCATTAGATGTGGGGGCGGGACAAGGCTCGGTGGGCGGGTCCCCACCCGGCGCCTCACTCCCCCGGGGCTCACCGGGGCGCTGGCCCCCTCCCCTGCGCGCTGGAAGGTCCACTCCACGTGCGCCTGCAGCGAGCGGGGCTCACACTCCAGGAAGGTGCTGCCGCCCTCCACGCCGAACACCTTCCGCTCCTGCAGCGCGGGATGGGCCGCGTCTAGGGAAGGGGCGGTCCATTCAGGCCAGGCAGGGCGGGCGGGGGCAGCCTCAAGGGGTGAGCGGCGGGGCCGCTGGGCACTCACCCCCGGAGCACAGCGTCCTGGGGTCGCCGTTCTTCACGTCTTGCCGCCGGAACCGCCTGGAAAGGCGGTGAAATGGGAGTCTCCCTGAGCCCTTCTTCTCACCGGGGCTCCCTCCCCGCGCGCCCCCGGCCAGCCCCTGCCCACCTCTTGGCACTGGGCTGGAAGCGTGTGCACGCGGCCCCGTCCCAGGCGCAGTAGGGGTCGCGCGCCAGGCAGCATTCGGCACATGCGCGGCCGTGGGCAGCACAGCGGTACAGCGGGATCTGGGCCACTGCGCTCCGAGAGGCCACGTACAGCTGGTGCTAGGGGGCACGAGGGGCTCCAGGCTGACCGAGGGGGCCTGTGCCCGCCCCCCATCGGTCAGGGGTCCCTTCCCCACTTGAGGGGTGAGAACACTGAGGTCTCAGGTCACAGGTCTAAGGCAGAGCCTACACTCAAACCCGGGGCTTCAAACTACCAAGGGAGGCGTGTGGTGGGGGCTCCCGGGCACCCCCTTGTCCATTCCACTCCTGAGCCTTCTGGTCACTTACCCTCTTGGAGGAGATTTGCATGCTGGTGACAGCGGCAGAGTCCTGAGAGAGAGAAGGGGTGCTGGGGGCTGGGGCTGAGGGGAGTGGGGTCCCCCAATGACGGGTGCTAGACCTCACCTCAAACACGTGCAGCTCCTCCAGGAGCAGCCCCTCGTCGCTGGGCCGGCTGCCCTTGGGGACCGAGATCACCTTTAGCACCGTGCCAGCGTCTGCGGGGGCGAGAGGGCCTGCCTCTGTATCCCTGACAGCCAGGCCGGGCTCTCTTCCCTCCCCCGTGGCGAGGTGGGTTGGTGAGAGTGAGGGATGGAACCATCGGAGAAGCGCGGGGAGCCAGGGAAAGGCGGGCTGGGGGCTGAACAAGAGGAGCCTGACCCGTGCCAATGAAGAGGACGTCGTAGTGGCCATCGGCAGCTGCTACTCGGTCTGCAGCAATCTGGGTGAAGGTGTACCCAGCACCCACTTGTAGGAAGAGAGGGCGCCCCCCCAGGGGCAGGATGGAGCTGTACATGAGCGGGTGGTTCCGGGCAAACTGGATGACGTCATCAGGAAAGTCCTTGGTGGAACTGAAGGTACCAAAAGTCTTGCTGGGGCACTGGGGGTGGGAGGAGGCAGGACAGGGACATGGTATGAGGGCCTGGTGGGCAGCCCTCCACAAGGGGCCTCCCAGCCCTGGAGTGTGTGGGGGGGTTGGGGAGGATTAGGGGTTGTGGGGGGTACTGGACAGAGCCGCCTCTGGGAATCTGAGAGAAGAGGCCTGGCCTTGCCTTTGGGAATCGGAGGAGGAGACCTAGCCTTCCCCCGAGAAGCCCTGTCTGATGAAGGTGACCCCCCCCCATAACAAACCACATTTAACCAGGAAACCCAGGCCAAGTTCTCCACACTGAGGCGTTTAGTGGGTTGCGGTGGGGGGACCCCTGGGCTACGCACCATGCCGGGCCGGGGGTAGGGGACACGGCCCTGGTAGGACACCCACTGGTGCGTCGGCCCCTCCTTGTGCGCAAAGGGCCCCAGGAAGGCCCGGCGCACGTCGGTCATGCTGTACACGCACACGGCCGAGCCCTGGAAGACGCCGCTGCAGGGGAGGGGAGGGGAGGACAGGAGTGACGGGCCTGCCGAGCCAGGCTGCCCCGCGGCCACCTCCCGGGCCTCACCTGGACGTGGAGAAGACGGCATAGAGCAGCGGGGCCCAGCGGTCCCTGGAGGGCAGCAGGAACACGTCCTCTGTGGGGACGGGGCCTCGTTGGAGGAGGGCACACAGCCGGGCAGGCCAGCCAGGCTCCCGAGTCTGCGCCCCGGCACCCCGCCCCCCACTCCGTCCTCCACGCCTGGCACTCACGGAGCTGGTCAAAGTGTGTGTCACCCTCGGTGCCCGGCACTGAGCACACCAGCCGCGCCTTCAGGAACGTGGTCCACTTGTTGACCAGGCTGCGCTGGCCGCCCACGTCATTCTGTGGGGTCAGTTGGAGGGGATGAGGGCCAGGCCCCAAAGGCAGCGGGGTGGAGCGGGCCCGTGGATGGGCTCAGGGCCTCCTCACCCGGCAGATCTGGCCGATGCGGGACACGGACCGGCGTCCCAGCGCCTGTGAGGCCTCCACCGCCGACTCGCGGAAGAAGAAGTAGATCTTGTCATCGTCGGGGTTCTCGCTCTCCGGAATCCAGAAGACCTTAATGAACTTGGGTTCTGGCCGCAGGAAGAGTGTGGGGTCAGCGCGGTCCTAGCCCGGACGCCCCGCTACTCACCCAGGTGCTGCCTCCCCCTCCTCTCACATAGCAGGTGGGGCAGCATCGGAGAGTACCAGCCTCTACAGGGGTGGGCAAACTTTTTGACTCGAGGGCCACAATGGGTTCTTTTATATATATATATATATATATATATATATTTTATTGATTTTTTTTTACAGAGAGGAAGGGAGAGGGATAGAGAGTTAGAAACACCGATCAGCTGCCTCCTCCACACCCCCTACTGGGGATGTGCCCTCAACCAAGGTACATGCCTTTGACCGGAATTGAACCCAGTACCCTTCAGTCCACAGGCCGACGCTCTATCCACTGAGCCACACCGGCCAGGGCCACAATGGGTTCTTAAACTGGACCGGAGGGCCGGAACAAAAGCATGGATGGAGTGTTTGTGTGAACTAATATAAATTCAAAACAAACATCATTACATAAAAGGGTATGGTCTTTTTTTTTTTTTTAGTTTTATTCATTTCAAACGGCTGTGAGCCAAGTTCAGATGGCGCGCTGCGGACAGAGTCCTGAAGAGCAGGGCCTGCGAGTCAAGAAGCAGCCACAAGAGGGCAGCAGAGGCCATGGCCACCTGGGCAAGCAGGAAGCGGGATCCCGGCCAGTGGTTGAAGAAAGGATGGAGATGGAGTCTCCGGTTTTACCTCCACTCACGAATCTTATTCTCTAGCAGGAAGCAGATGCCCCACTCCTGTTGCAAACACTCTGCTGGGCCCCATCACTCAGGGTAAACTACCGGGCCCCTTGTCATTGCTCCCTTCAGAAATCTGTTCCTCCGCTTGTCCCTGCCCCAGGACCTTTGCACTACTTGTGCCCTCTTCTTGGAATGCTCTTCCCTCAGTCCTGCTCTACGTAGGGGATTGGCTCACATCCATCCTCAGCAGAGTGGCTTCCTTTACCCAACGTAGTCTGTCACCTTTTCCCTCCTCTCTACGCTCTCATTGGTCTCATGACCGGGAATTGATTTTTTCGTGTTAGGAGGTCTGTGAACTCAAGGAGCGCGTGATACCTGTCTAGCCTTCCCCGAAGGGCCTGCCACATGGAAGTACTTGGTGAGACCTGGCTGCCTCCATCACTCACTTATTTTGTGGGCCTTACTCAGCACCTGCCCTGTTGGGGATGAGGGTCCCCTCCTGCCACCCCACCACCCCTCACCATTGAGCCAGCGGGAGTCGTGGGGCTCAGTTCGGAGACTCGGACGCTGGCCCAGGCTGCGGAAGATGGTGAAGTCCCGGCCCATGAGGTCTGCGGCCACCCCAGAATACAGCTCTTCCCCTGCAGGCAGGGCCAGGGCTCAGCCAAGCTGAAGGCTCTCGGCTGGGGGAACTGTGGAGCTCTGGGGGCACCCCTGGGGCTCTAGGGAGGGTCTTGGGACTTGGTGAGGTTCCAGGAGTTCTGTGGGATCACAGCCTCTGGACTCACCCACCAGCACGGAGGCGGCACGGTGCCTGGGGTCGTAAGGACTCTTGCCCTTGCCGTCCTCCAGCCTCCGAGGGTCCAGGCGGAGCACGGGCTCCTGGGGGCGGGGAGGTTGTCACTGCCAGGCCCTCCCTCCCCCCACACCCCTCTGCTGGCTCTGGCCTTACCTCGGGCCGGTGGCCCACCTCCAGGAACGCACAGGTGGGGTGGAAGGCCCCGGTGCCGCAGGCCAGCACGTGGGAGCGGTTGTAGGCGTGCAGCAGCTTCACGAAGTTCATGCACTCAGTCTAGCGGGCAGCCGGGGCGAGATGTTGAGGCCTCCCCCGGGGGGGGGGGGTTGGCCTTCAGGGGTTCCCGCTCACCAGTGCACCCCACCTCTTCCTTTCTTTTGCATCAGCTCAGGCAAGTACCAGCATGGGCTCCAGGGACTTGGGGGCCGTCAGTGACCAGCCCAGCCCAGCCGAGCCCAGCCCACCTCCCAGCAGAATGGGTACCCGGGGAAGCAAAGGTCTGCATTGGCCCCTGTGACTCACAGGCCCCCAAGAAGAATCACATGAGCCCCCACCCTGACTCACTACCTCCCGACTCCGCCACCTCAAGCCCCTGCCCCCATCCCGGCTGGAACAGACAGGCCTCTGTTTCGGCGCTGCCCGCCTATGGAGTGGGGGCTGACCCTCCCGCCCCCACCCGGAGCCCACACTCACACCAATGTCCTTCCCGGCCCAGTTGCACTCCTCGCGCCATTCCACAGGCGCTGGCCAGGCCAGCTGGGGGTGGGGGTGGGGGAGAGGGACACAGGTCAGGGGCGTCCGATGCTCTGGGCTGGGTGTCACTCAGGGGCCCCAGCCCCGCTCTCCCGGCATCGGGGTGGGCTCCCGGGGCCGCTCCGTGGGTAGCGCCGCACCTTCTTGGCCCGCTTGCTGATGTTGTCCAGGCTCAGGGAGGCCACGTGGTTCTCCGCGCCCACAAACAGGCGCCCGCGCTCCTCGTCCACCAGCAGGGCCTCGTAGCAGCAGGTCCTCGCCAGCCGGAAGGTCCGGAGACCGTGCTGGGCCTGGAGCTCTGCGGGTGGGGACCCGAGAACGCTGGGCGCTTCCTTCCCCCAGGCCCTGTCCGTCTCTCCCTTAGGCTCACACGCGTGTGAGTTCACACACATGTGCGTTTACACCTGCGGAGGCCACCCCGGTGCACAGCCACCCCCTGTGCCCCTGAGGGGAAGGCAGGCCGAGCTCCTGGGGCGTGCTCGGACAAGCAGTGTCTCCAGGCAGCGCACTGGGGGCCGGGGCTCTGGGGAGGCCAGGATGGAGGGGAAGCCGAACCCGACTCCCCGATCCAGGGAGGGCTCGGCCGTCCTGCCAGGAGCCTGGCTCAGTCCCTGGCAAGCGCTCCTGGGCAGGGGTGGGAAGGGGCTCTCAGGGCCCCCACATCTCAGCTTCCCTGGGAGTAGGGGATGGTACAGAGGCAGGATCTGTTGCCATGGAGACCGAGGGGTCTTCCTGGGAAAGCAGAGGGGAGTGGGCAGAGGGGCGTGCCCCGCTCGCCCTGGGCCCCCGCCCGCCAGGTGCACCTACCTTGGAAGGAGAAGCGGAGGCGGGGAGGGCTTGGGGAGGCAGCCCCCAGCACTGCCGTCCAGAGCAGGACCAGGGCTGCGATCATGGCGGCCTCCGCCCGCCCCGGCCCGGCCCAGGGCGCTTAGGGTTCAGCAGGCTTCGGCAGGCGAGTGCCGGAGCGAGGAGCCTTGAGCCGCCCTGGACTCTGCCCCGGGATCTGGAAGAGAAGGAGTAGTAGCGAGGGCCAGGGCCAGGGCCAGGGCGAGGGCGGGCGGCTGGGGGGAGCCCCGGGGATCAGGTTACAGCCCCAGGGGAAGGCGGCTGGGGGCGCATTCCACTTCCGAGTCCTCCCTCCCTGGAGGGTGCCCTGCCCGGCCACAGTCACAGGCACACCACGCTGGGCACACCCTCGGGGTCACCCCACACTGGCAGGCACCCGCCCCACCACGTCACCCTCCCCAGTAGCCGGCCCTCCCATAGGCTCACTCACAGGCATTAACTCACACACTGAGGGCCGACTTCTCGCCAGCCTGGGACTCGGCTGGGACAGTGGGGGACACAGACAAGGTCCCCCTGCAGGAGGGACTCAGGCCGGCGGGTTTCAGAGGTGCCAGGAGCAAACAAGCGAGTTGTGGGAGTGAGAGCAACGGCGGGGCGGCCTCAGGTGGCTGCGCCCACAGCCCAGGGACGGGCACCGCTGGGGCCGGAGCCGGTGGTGGGGAGCCTGCGAGTGTATGTTCCCGAGGGTCCCCGTGTGTCTGTGCTGCACGTGTGTGTGGTGTGTGTGCACGCACGCGGCCAGGAGGCCATGGGCGTTTGTCACACATGCAGATATGTGGCGTGCATCTGTGCGCACACGGCATTGTGTGTGTCTGCGTGGTGTGTGCACTTTGTGGATGTGTCTGTAGCATGTGTGTCACACGTATGTGGACCTGTATGCACATGCATGTGTGTATGTGACTATCTGGACATGCAGGTGAGCAAAAACACACGCAGTTCACCACTGCCTTCAACTGGGGACACTCCTGGAACCCACTTCTCAGAGGAGCTCCAGGGGTTGGCAGAAGCCTGGTTGCAGCCAGACTGCTAGGAAGGGGGGCCACTGGGATGGGGGCTGCTGGGATGAGGGCCGCTGGGATGGGGGGCCGCTGGGAAGGGGGCCACTGGGGTTGGGATTGCTGGGATGGAGGGAGCAGCCCCGGCTGAGCTGGCCTCTCTCCCCTCCCCAGAGGTGGACTGGCTGGTCACACAGAAATTCTGAGCTCAGACTTCAGACCCAAGAGGGATCAAGGGGGGAGAGCCAAGGGCCTGAGGCAGCCTCTCCCCAGCTAGGGGAGCCCGTCCCCTCCTGAGCCTCCCTCCCCCCCTCAGTCCCAGGTCTCCCCATCTGCGACACCCCCCCCACCACCACTGCTCGGAACCAGAGCCCCTCCCGGACCCTCAGACGGGGCCAGGTCTGAGGCAGGCTGTGCAGGGGCCGGCGCCAGAGCCCTGGGGTGGGGCAGGGTCCTGGCGTGGGATGGGGCAGGGGGCACAGCTGCTGAGGCCCGTTCCAGACCCCTCCCGGTAGCCCTGCCCAGCTCCATAGCTCACGGACCTCTCCCTTGCCACCCCTCCCAGGCGGCCCCCTCCCTCCCTCCCTCCCCTGACACTTGCCGCTGCCTCTTCTGGGCTGGGGGGCGGGGGTCTGCGCCACCACAAACCCCCAGCTGCCTCCCCAGTGGCCACCGAGAACTCCAGCACCCCCGCCCCTTCTCGCTCTGGAGAAGGGGAGAAGCCAGGGGCCCAAGGGCACCCTCCGACGGCCCCTTTAAGGAGCAGCCCCCACCCCCACCAAGCCAGCCACCGCCCCGCGCCGTCCAGTGTACGGGGCGGGCAGATCGGGTGACTGGGCAGGGAGCCTGGACGGCTGAGACGGTGGCCCAGCCAAAGGGGAGCGGGCACAGGGGGGAGGGAGTAGGGACGACACCCCTGTCGGGGTCACAGCAATAGGGCGCCCCAAGCAGCGACAGTGGGGCTCCCAGTCAAAGCAAAGGAGGAAGACGCCATAAAGGCCCGCCCCCAGCCCCAGGCGACTGCAGGGCGGGCAGGGGGGCAGCTGGTAGGGTCCCTCTGGGGGCTCCTCACCTGTCCTTCCACAGCTGGGGCGCAGGGGGCCCGGGAGCCAGCTGGGTGGGAGGGTCGGAGGAGAGGGGAGGGCGATCGCAACTGGGCCCTCAGGACCCCGTCCCTGTCCTTCCTCACCACGTGGGCCAGGGCCCTGCCACCTGCTGGCAGTGGTTGCCATGGGAGCCAGTCTGGGCAGGAGGAGGGCCAGGAGTGAGCAGGTCTCACTGCCCCGCAGGGTGGGTCCTGCAGGCGCCAGCCCGGCCTGAACCCTGAACGCGGTGCGGCCCGGCTGAGGGCGCCTGTGTGAGCTCTGGGACTGTCTTTCTTCCTGGTTGGAGGTGGGAGGAACTGCCCCTCACCAAATGCCCAGCAAGGTGCCCAAGGGGGCGTCAGTCTCAGGCCACAGGCTCCCGCCCCTGGGGCCTCGGTTGGGAAGGGTCAGGCGGCTTGGCTTGAAGCTGGGTCTGGTGGACACCCCGTCTGGGGGCTGAATGTTGACAACAGCTGAGAGGGGACCTCAGGCCCACCTGGGGGGACATGCCAGGCTCCCACCACTCCCCCTGGCCAGGCATCCTCCTGGAATGGCCTCAAGCTGGTCAGAAGCTCCCAGGGGTCAGCAAGGGAGGCTGTGGCTGCCAAGTCCCCTGGAGTAGACGTGTCTGTGCCCAGCCAGAGTGGGGTCGCGCCCCTTCCCTGCGCCTCGGGCCTAGTGTGCCCGGCCTGGCTGGCTGGCAGGGAAGGGTAGGGGTGAGCGGGAGAACCAGGGCGTCGGGAAGGCCTGGGGAGGGACACACCCCTGCAGGAACTTCTGGGCTTCCGGGATGCACCTCACCCTCCTCCAGGCTCTGTGCCTTGGACCTGGCTCCCCCCCCGCCCCCCCAGTGCAAGCAAACAAAATTCTTTGGCTGTTTACAGTGTTCCACCCAAGCAGCCAAGCTCAGCAAGTGCCTTTGAGGTCCCCACCCGCGCCCGCGGTGCCCCCACCTGCCCCCACTGCTTCTGGTTCTTCAGGCCCAAGGGCCCAGCCCCTGTCCCATTCGTCCCCAGCCCTGTGACCCTCTAGAGAAATGGGACCAGGACCCCCCCAATCCCATCTTTCCAAAGCCCTGGACTCAACGCCCGCCAACGGGATGGCTCCTTCCTCCAGATGCGTCCCCTCCCCAAGCGGAAGGGCGATCCCCCGGAGGGGAGCTCAGCTTGTCCCCGTCCCCACAGGTGTCCTTCCTGCTCCTCGGGTCCAGGTGCAGGCCAGGCCTGGGCAGGGCCTCATTCGGACAGCCTGGGAGCAGGGTCATGGCTGTGGGTCACCTTGGGCTCTGGGCGTCCCCCAGGATTCTGGAATCGGGCAGCCGGGCCTGGGTCTCGACAGCACGGGGCAGACCAGCAGGGAGGCAGCTAAAGTCCCTGCCCCCGCCCGCACCCCTCCCTGGGGCCACCCCGGGCTCCTCGGCCTCCACCCTTTGCCGGGGCCTCCGTGGGCAAAGGCCTGCCTGGGCTCTCACTTGGTGCTGCCTGCGAGTGGCATCGGCTGCCAAGGCCTCCGGTTTTCCTTCTGGAAATAACTGGTTTGTTGAGCCAAGTCCCAGCACCTGCCTCCCCTCCCCCTGCACCTGCCTGGGCGCTGGTCCTGTGCTGGGGTAGGACTTCCCTCTGCGGAGGCTGCGCCACCCCTCCCAGGGCCGCCGGGCTGGGCCACCTGGGCCCGCTCACACCTGCTTTAGCCATCAGGGCTGGCGGCGCCAGCGGGCCTCCTTCTGGCCACGTGGGTCCTGGGATGTGCTCCCTGGGGACTCAGGCATGGGGGTGGGGGGGCCTGGAGAGAGCCTAACTGAGGCCTAAAGCCCCTGACACGCTGCCACCCAGGGGGTCTCCCCACCCACCCCCGCCTGGTCTCCAGCTCCCAGGGGGCCCCTGGCCCACCTTTTTGGAAAGATCAGCTCCTCCCTTCCTTGCCCGTTCCCCGGTCCTTCTGAGGGCCATGTCAGAGCTGAGGTGGAGGGGCCGAGGGCGGGGCCACCACGAACCCTGGGCCTCCGGCTGTGGCCCTGCCCCCACCGCTCCGCCCCTACCCTCCGCCTCCTGCACATTCCTCCCTGGCTGAGGTCAGCCCCTTCGGGATGGGGCAGCCCCCCCCCCCCTCCCCAGCCACATCACAGCTCTTCACTCACTCCTGTTTTCCTCATTGCCCAGCGAGGGGGGCCGGGGGTGCGGCCTCCCTCTCCCCTCCTTCTCCATAGCCTGGCGGGGGCGGGGGGGAGGGGGCGGGCAGGGGGGCGGGGCGGGCCTGCCAGGAATGCGGCAATAGTGGACCGGGTTGCCCCTACACCCGTCAGCACACATTAACACTTTGCTACACTCCGAGGAGGGCTGTTGGGGGGCTCCAGAGGCTCTGGCGGGTTAAGGGGGCAGGGATCGACCCCCTAGTAGCCGGGGAGGGGCGGAATGAATCCTGACACCTCCGCTCCCCAGCTGTGCGTCCCGCGAGGAAATGGAACCTCTCAGATGCTCCCCTCACTATTCCTGCGGCTGGGGGGGGGGGGAGTGAGGGGGGGGCTGGCACACTGGGCACCCTGCAGCATCCAGGCCCAGCATCCTTCACCTCCTCCTCCCGCTTCTCCTGTCCCCCCCCTTCCCCGCCTTGCCCTACCGCCACCAAGCCCCCCACTCCTCTACCCCCCCCCCCCCCCGCAGCACAATGATATCCCAGACCCTCCACCCGAACCTCCTTCCCCCCTCAGCCCCTGGGGACTCCTCAGTCTTCCTGCTCCACCATGCCACCCCCAGCAGTGCCCAAGCCCACCCCACCCCCACCCCCCAGCCCCCAGCCCCCAGCCCCCAGCCCTGGAAGGCCCTTCAGTCTCATTGGGGACAGGCCCCGCCTCCTCCCCCTGCAGCCTGACCCCTTCACCCTGCCCCAGGCTGTGTCCCGGGTCTTTCTGCCACTCCCCCTCCTCCTCCGTGGCCTCCCTTCCTCATGCCCACCCATCCCCTGACTCAGACTTCATGAAGCTTGGGGGGCCCAGGATGTAGCCTGGCATTCACACCACCCACCTGACCCGGCCCTGGCCAGCCTGCCAGCCTCCCCACTGCCAGCTCCTTCCCGGCCAGGACTTCGCCAGGCTGTGCCTCCTGCCGCTAGGCCCGCCCCTGCCACCTGCTGTTCTCCGGGTCCACGCCCCTCGCCCCTCGGCCCTTTCTCTGTGAGCCCCTGCCGCCCGTAACGGCGAAGCTCTGCGAGCGCTGTGCTCCCGCAGCTGTCGGCTGTCACTGGGGCCCGGGCGCAGCAGAGCCAGGCCCGGGAGGCAGCGGAGGGAGGGCCTGCAGGGAGCCCTCCACCCCCAGGGCCGGCTGAGCCCACGGAGGGAGGGGGCTAATGGGGAAGGGCCCTGCTCCAGCCCCTCACCCACAAGGTCAGGAAGCAGTCAGCAGCTTCCCGTCCCAGATCATCTGTGGGCTGCAGCATCTGCAAGGGGCAAACCCTGCAGGGGGAGAAAGGGGATCTGCGGCCCTGCCCCTGCCCCTGCCCCCTGCGCCTGCCCCCTGCCCCCATCACTGTGGGATGGACTGAGGAGCCGAGTGGCTGGCAGGCATGGACACACGTACCCCAACTGGCCTGAGGCCCACCTGGGGGTGTGGGAGCTGGCATTCCCAAGGGGCTGGTGGAGGCAGAGCCTCCTGGCAGGGATGAGGCCCCCGGGATCTCGTTTGGGACAAGAGACAGGATTGGGGGCCTGGGAGGGGCCTGGACACGGAACTCAGGCGGCAGACACTGCAGCCCTGCCCCACCCTCTCCCTGACTGAGGGCAGCTTGGGCCTGGTGGCCGAGCCACAGGCTGGGCAGCTGCAGTCACGTGGCTGGGCTGGCATGGCGCCTCCAGCCTAGGTGGCTGGCTTGGCACCCTGGGTGGGGGAGAGGGGTTGACTCGGAGGTTTTCCTGGCTTCAGGATGAGCCACCACCATGGGGCTGCCCGGGACATGGTCAGGGCCTCCGCCAGGCCTCGCAGTCCCTACAGCCTCAGAGGCACCCTCCCTGAGGCCCTCCCGTTCTGCGGCTGGTCGCTGGGCCTCAAGCACCTGCTGGGAGGGGCGGGGGGGGGCACGTGTGGGGCCGGGAGGATGGGCCTTCTCAGGCTGGGACAGCTCCGGGGGCCGGAATCTCTGCCTCCCCTCACCCAGCGGCTCCCAGGACGGGACAGCCACAGGCAGTGGGGGATCCCCAGGAGGCAACCTCACGGAGTCCCTCCTATTGGGGGACAGGGCACCTGGGATGCCCCAGCCTGCCACCTCCATGGCTGGGAGTTTCCCAACTGCCAGCGACAGGGAGGCGTTGAGGGGCCGCCCCGCCAGCGCTGGGACAATGGAGCCTTGTGCCCCAGGAGTGGGAGCAGGGGCAGGAAGGCCACGGGCAGGTGGGGGTGCTGGGCTGCACCCAGGGAGGCCCTGCTTGCCAGGACCCCACCCAGGACCACTGCCAAGCGGGACAAGGGGATCTTGGCCAGACCCTGCGTGGCCCACCCAGGGGGAGGCGCTGGGTGCGCCAGGCAGACAATGCCCGCCCTCAATGGCCCCTCTGTGCACGGTCCCCCCCGGAGGGAAGAAAGGAACCGACTCCTGCGGCCGCTTCCTGCTGGCAGGCCCCGCTGCTGGGGGCCCCGGCGCCCCGCCCTTCTTCCTAGGGCTCCGGGTCCGGCCTGACCGCGAGGGGAGGCAGGGATGCAAGTCTGGGGGCGGGACCTGTTCCTGTGTCAGCCTCAGCCCTCGGGGCAGGGGTAGCAGGAAAGGCCCGGGGAACCGGCGGGGCGCGTTCATCTCCTTCCGACGGGGCGGGCGGCTGCAGTCTCTCTTCCCCTGCCAGCGTCGGGGGCCCCCCAACCCCCCGGCTTCCGGGGCACTGGCAGGTGTGCGGAGGCGGGTCCCGGCCCCACCCTCTCCCCTCTCCGCCCTCCCCGCCTCCACGGCGCCGACCCCGGCCCGGGGCGCTTTGTCCCGTGGCGAGCCCGGGGCCCCCGCGGCCCCACAAAGCCGCCTTTGTGCCCGTGGCCTCGGCGGGACCCCGTGACGTCAGCCTCCGGGACGGCGCTGGGGGCGAGCACGGGCGGCGGCGCCCTCTGGTGGCCACGGGCGGAGGCGCGCCTCCCAGCCCCCCCTCCCCCGCCGTGGGGCCGGCTTCCCAGAGCTGGGGGAGCTGGGCGAGGCTGCTGGCCGGGCCCCCCACAGCCCCCCGCGGTCATCAGCCAGTTTCCTCTGCAGCAACAGATGTGCGGGCCTCCCGAGCCCCCCGGAAGCGCCCCTTTCCTTGAGCCCTAGTCCCCGTGTAGGTGAAGGGTAGCCACCTGCCCACATCAGGGTTGGAGGGCACCTCTGGGCAGAGGCCCCCACTGTCCCCAACTTTGTCCAGTCCAGCCCAGGGCGCCTCAGTTCTGGGCAGGGCTCTGGGCAACACGTCAGATTGGGAGGCGGGAGGGGGCGGCCAACCTGGCCTGTGACCACACGGCCCCTGGGCCTCAGGCCTGGGCGCTGAGTCAGTTTCCTTCCACTCCACTCACCGGGCACCTCCTGCTCCGTGTCCTTGGAAGTGTGCCCCCTGACCCTCCAGCAAGGCTGGATGCTGCCCCCCCCCCCCCCCGGGACGCAGAGGTGCTGGGGGGAGAGGGGAGACATACGAAGTGCTGAGTCCTGGGCCTGAGCCGGCAGCCCAGCACCCGGGGCCGCCACGGTGAGGGGGAGGGTCCCACCGTCAGGCGGCACCGCAGCCTGGTCTCTGCCCCGCAAAAAGAAGGAGGCTGAGCAGTTCTTGGTGTTTTTCTTTCTACATTTTATTATTTCAAACCAGGTGAACAATTCCCGAAAACGTGAAAAAAGCAAGGAAGTGTTCAACGCTGAAGGACCCGACCTGGGGGAGGGCACGAGGGGCGCGGCCCCTCGGCAGGCAGCGGTGGTTCCTAGGTTAGCGGGAAGGGCTACATGGAGGTTAATGGAGCCGGTGGCCCTGGGACAGGCCTCTGTGAAGCTGGCAGCCCTTGGACCCGACGGTGTGGGGCAGGGGGGCCGCACAGGGGCAGCCAGCAGGGCGGGTGTAAACACACGGACACACTCAAGGCACGGCGTCGCTCGAATGGGGCTGGGGGAGCTGGTCAGGATCGGACAGTTTTAAATACTTTTTCCTCTAAAAAGTTTCTAAGTTTGCGTGGTTTTTTTTCCTTTCGTTTTTTTAAAAAGCTACGAGAACGAGCGGTGGACTGTGGTCTCCAGGAATGGTGGTGTCTCACGCGTCTTGTGCTTTTCCTTGGGGCCTCCGAGCGGCTGGGGTGGGGGTGGGGGCAGGAGGCTCCCTGTAAACATCTGGCCTTGGGCTGGGCCAGGGGCTGGGGCTGGGTGAAGCCGGGGTCCCAGGCTGGAGGAGTGAGTGCCCCTCCCCCACCACAGAACAAGACAAGGGCCAAATCCAGAACAGACAGATGCCCAGGAAAGGGGTACCCAGCTGTTCCCAGCACCTGGGACAAGGGCAGGCTTCGGACAGGGAAGCCTGTGGCACCCCCTTCCCCAAGTCTTGGGAGCTGAGGGAGGCAACAGGGGGAGCCAAGAACAGAGAGAGGGGGGAAGCGGTGGGGAGGGCAGGTGGGGGGCGTGGTCCTCTTGCCCCCATCTTCCTTAGGAACTGGGGGAGCAGATTCGGCGGCGGCCCTGAGGTGGGGGCAGGCAGGGCATGGGTCAGGAGGTAGACACTGTGAGACTCTTCCCACCCCCCACCCCCCGACAATGACCTGTTCCTTTCCCACCCATTTGTTACCAGGGACACAGTGGCCACCCAGAAGCCAGTGCCCGTTGCTGGGCTCCTTGGGGGAGAGGGTCTGAGGCTGGCAGAGTCTTCCCACCTCCCCAGGCCCAGGGGAGCCAGCCAGCTCAGGAGCCTCAAGGTCGGAGGCAAAGAGGGAGGAGCACAGAGCCGGTCACACTGAGCGGCAGGTGGGGGCCCCAGCGTCCTCCAGGCTGGGCCCAGGGTCTGGTGGTGAGGAAGTGAGTTTTCTCCAAGGAAGGCCGAGCAGCCCTTTAGCTCTGTCCCAGCGCACAGTGCAGCTGTGTGGGCCCCCGGGCAGCAGAGCCCAGCCCTGCCCGTGCCCAGGCACTGGGTGACCCTCCTGACTCACCAGCCTGCGTGCCCCTTGTCCTCTGCGCTCCTACTGGGCGCTCACCTGGACTCCTGCGTCCCCGCTCTGGGTCAGTGGCCCTGCTCTGTCCCTCCCCAGCTCCCTGCCTGGCCCCGCCCCGGCCCCCCAGCTCCCCGCCTGGCCCCCCGGCTCACCGTCCTGCCAGGTCGGCTGCCCCTCAGAAGAGGCCGCAGTCCTTCAGGTTGTTCTTGATGATGACGTCAGTGACGGCGTCGAACACGAACTGCACGTTCTTGGTGTCGGTGGCGCACGTGAAGTGTGTGTAGATCTCCTTGGTGTCCTTGCGCTTGTTCAGGTCCTCGAACTTGCTCTGGATGTAGCCGGCTGCCTCCTCGTACTTGTTGGCCCCTGTGGAGGCAGCACGGTGAGACCTGCCCGTCCCACGCGTCCCCACACGCACACAGGGCGTGCTCACGTGCACAGGATGAGTGTGAGCGCAGGCACATCTGTGTGGGAGGAGGATGCCCACGTGCACACGGAAGGGCCCACCCCCAGAGTGGGAAGAAGGGCCCCCACCTGCTGGCACAAGTACTTAAGTCCCAAAAGCACCAGCCAGACCAAGGGCCCCACAGTTACCCTTCTGTCCAGCAGGGGGCGCTGCGAGCCAGCGGGTCCCCCCAGCGCTCCGAGGCCCAGCCCCCCACCTGTGTATTCGGGGAAGCAGATGGTCAGGGGGCTGTGAGTGATCTTCTCCTCGAACAGGTCCTTCTTGTTGAGGAAGAGGATGATGGACGTGTCCGTGAACCACTTGTTGTTGCAGATGCTGTCGAACAGCTTCATGCTCTCGTGCATGCGGTTCTGGGGGCAGGACAGCGGGCACCCCCGGCGGGCCCCCCCCCCCCGCCCCGCCCCTCGTGGTCTCTGGCGCTCACCATCTCCTCATCCTCCGCAAGCACCAGGTCGTAGGCGCTCAGGGCCACGCAGAAGATGATGGCTGTCACGCCCTCGAAGCAGTGGATCCACTTCTTCCGCTCAGACCGCTGGCCGCCCACGTCGAACATCCTGCAGACACAGGGGCACCTTAGCTCCAGAGAAGGGAGGAGCCCCTGGAAGGATCCCGGCTCCACCCCTAGGCCGCCACTGAGGACAGAGCCTGCTCAGGGGGGGCGGCTACCCTCCCGGCTCCACACTTGTCCACTTTCCCCGACTCTGGGCCAGGGAGTGTGCCCGGCACGCTCGGGTGGTCAGCAGCACAGGCTCGGGGCTGTCGGCAGGGCCGGCTGCGGCCACAGGGGCAGGTCTCAGAGCATGTGAGCTGCTGGCAAGAGCAGGGCTGCCCTCGCTCCCTGCACAGCCAGGAGCAGGTCCTGGAGGGAGGCCCCTCCCTCGTCACCTCCGGGCTGGCGGTCCGCCTCTCCACACACACACACACACACACACACGCACACGCACACACACTGTGCTCACTTGAAGTGCAGGTCCTTGAAGGTGAAGTGTGTCTCCACGATGCCCGTGGTCTTCACCCGGGTCCGCAGCACGTCCTGCTGGGTGGGGATGTAGTCGCTCTGTGCGATGCGCTCCAGGTCGTTCAGGTAGCTGGAAGGGGGGGAGGGGGGGTCAGTGGGGCCAGCAGGGGCCTCCTGACCTGCATGACCCTCGTTGCTCAGATGAGGAAACCTGGACCCGAATCCCCCGGCTCCCCCCTGTAGGTCAGCCCGCGAGGGGCAGCTCGGTACCTGTGGCCGGCCCAGCCCCGCACCCAGGCCTGAGACAGGCCGGCCTCCGCTGGGGGCCCGGGTGCTAGAGCTGCAGGTGCAGGGGTGGGAGGGGACAGATCAGTTCTCCAGCGAGGGATTCAGGATGCTAATCAGTGCAATTATGGTGTCAGCCGTATAGCAACCTGGCGTGTCCTTGGACTTGGATGTGGAGCTGGGCAGGCTGGGCTCCTCAGGGGAGGGCATCAACATCTACTTGGGGGCCCCAGGGGCTTTACGTTACCAGCTCCCTTATTAGCTCCCATGTCAGCACCAACCCGCCCAGCCAGGCCCTGGGCCCGCCTACGGCGGCCTCAGTATCCTGCTAGTCCGGGGCTGGGTCCAGGCCGCCCAGCACCGAAGTCCTGCTCCTGGGGCAGGGCTGCTGGGCCAGCCCTTGGTTCCCACCAGCAGCCTGGCCAGAGGGAAATGACCTCAGAGACGCAGAGACAGAACAGAAAAACAGGAAGAGCCGGGGGGACCATGACGCCTGTGCTGTAACCTCCACACCAAGCCCCGCCCCCCACCAAGCGCCTCCAGTCTGGAGGCCCCTGGGTGGTTCCCCCCCCCCCCCCCGTCTCTCCCTCCCCAATAGGTGGGCTCTCCCCAGGGCCTTGCTGCCCCAGGGCAGCCCTGGAGGATGGCTGCGGAGAGGGGGGGTGTCCCAACCCGCTCCCCACCCTCAGTGAAGCATAAACCTGCCGGAAGAGCAGGGCCCGCGTTCACTGCTGAATCCACCCCCAGAACAGCGCTGTGCACACAGCAGGCGCTTGACAGGAAGGAGAAGGGAACGGGGAGGAGTGGGAAGTGGCCTGGCAGGCGGCTCCCGCCCGCCCTCCTGGAGGCCTGGGCACAGAGGTGGCAATGACTGACAGGGCCCACACCTCTGCTGAGCCTGTGACGGTGGAAGGGCAGCCCGGAGGCCCCGAGGCCTGTGTTTGGCTGAGACTGTAGCTTGGGGGCGGGGCGGGGGGGGGTTCAGACCTCTGCGAGGGCGGGGGCTGTCCGCATAATGGGCAGGGAACGCCTCCCACCCCCTCCTGAGGTCCTGTCCGCAGACGGACTCCGGGCGGCTGGTGTGTGCAGGCCAGGCCTATCTGGGTGGCACCGTCCAGAGCCTGTGGGTGTCGCCCACGGCCCTGCAGCCTCAGCCCTGGCCTCCAGCCTGTCTGTCCTACTCCCCACGGGGCACTCAGTCGCCCTGTGCCAGGCGTGGTACCTGCAGGTACTTCAGGAAAGGCGGTAAGGGCGTCGTCCTGCGGGCTGGCCTCCCTCCGGGACTCCTGGGATCCCGTGATTCCCCAGCTGGCCCTGAGCTCAGCCAAGGGCCAGCAAGGGTGAGCGCTCAAGCCCTGGGCTCCACCTCCACCCGTGTCATCTCCCAGACCCTGCCTCCCCTCCGTGTCTCCCTGCCCAGCCAGCCTGAACTTCCCCTGTGACCAAGGCACAGTCAGCACTTTACCACCCGGGAGGTGGCACAGGCTGTGCCCTGCCTGCGGGCCCTGCCCATTCCCCCCAAGTCCAGGGCAGACTCCCCTGAGGCACCCCTCACTGGCCCTGCCCCCGCGGCTGCCACCACACTGATACCTAGGTTGTCACTGCTTGGGGGCTTGCCTGCTCCACTCACCCGTGTCCCTGCAGCCTTGCCCAGGACCTGGCACAGAGCAGGTGGCAGCAAACGGGTCTTTAGAACGACTGTGTGTGAGGACAGATGAGCCGCCGGCGGCCCGCAGGGGACGGGCTCTGTAAGCCCCTGCCTGGCCCTCCTGGCCTGGACATACCATGCCTCCCACCCCAAGCCAGACCCTGCAAGGCCTCACTGACAGTCCCCGCCTCTGAGGGAACCCCGCCCGCCCGCCCCGCTGGGCGCACTCACTAGGCAGCGGAGTCGTTGAGCTGGTACTCCCGGGAGCGGCTGAAGCAGGCCTGCACGCCGTGGTCGGCCCAGAGCCTCCGGATCACGCCGGACAGGTCCTCGGGGAGCACGCCCTGCTCCTCGGCCGTGCAGGACAGCGCAAACAGCTGCCTGGCGTCGTCCTGGGGACCGCAGGGGGTCAGCTGTCGCCGGGAGCACCCTACCCCACCTGACAAGGGCGGGAGGCCCCGGGGATAGGGCCTAGGCTGGGCACCCTCAGGTTCCCAGGACATGACGGGCCCTGAGGCCTCTGGGAGGCGGAAAGGGTGGGGGAGCCCATGTACCGCGCGGGAGGGGTCAGCGAAGTCAATCTGCAGGTTGCCCATGGCTTTGACGATGGCCATGATGGACTGGATGGTGTTGCTGTAGACAACCGCCCGGTACTGCCGGCATTCTTCCTCGGAGTAGCCGTCCTCATGGATGATCCTGGCAGCCAGGGAGCGGGGTTAATGGCCACAGACAGCGCAAGACCACCTGGGGGGCTAGGGCCTGCAGGGACCCACTTCAGAGAGGACGGAACTGCCCCCACCCCCCGGGTTCTGAGGATGGATGGCTGCCTCCGGGAGCGCCCTGAGCCGGGCCCAGGAGAGGGGAGACCGAGGCGGGGAGGCCGTCCGCACACAGCACTCACTTCATCTGCTTGACGATGGTGCTCTTCCCCGACTCCCCAGCACCTGGAACGGAGGGCGCAGGTCAGGGAGCCGGCCGCGGGCTCCACGGGACGCCGAGGGCCCAGCCACCTGCAGCCCTGGAGGCCGCGCTAACCCTCCCACCAACTGCAAGGGGGAGATGGAGGCAGGCAGGCAGCAGAGCCGGCAGGGCTGCGGCTGGCAGGGCCATGCGGTCAAGGTGCCCTATAGTGGACTCTCCCCAGATGCGGCCACCCACAGCCCCGTGTGCCCTGCAGGAGTCGCCCTGCCTCCCACCAGCAGGCTGGCTCCCCCACACTTGGCGTAGCTGCCAAGGGCCCTGGATGGCACGGCGTCACACTCCTGTCTCCAGACACGGCCCAGGGCCAAGCCCGCTGCCTGCGGTGCCCCGGTCGGCCCTGAGGAGATGGAGCCCGGGGCCTGGGGTCGGGCGGTGTGACACGCACACACCCAGGCACGCCCCCCCCCCCCCCCGCCCCCGTGTCTCCCCTGGGCCAGCGGTGAGGGCCTGGGGCCGCTCCCCTGTAACCGTCACAGCAGCCCAGGCTCTGCTCCCGCTTACGGATGAGGACAAAGCGGCTCAGAAAAGTCTGGTCCCAAGCGCGTGGGCCAGGGTTCGGACGCCCAGCCCTTCTGCTATTAGGCTCAGACCCTGTGGGATGATGCCCTGGGAGATAAAAACAGCCAATTCCCAGGTTTCCTCCCAGACACAGAGCCAGGTCTAGAGGGTGCAGCCCAGGAGCCCGCATTTCCCAGGAAGGTGATGACCAGGGGACGGAGGGGCAGGGACAGGGCCTCCCCTCCCTCCCGAGCTCCAGGCGCAGTCACCTCGGCTGGACCCGGCTCATCCTCCCGGCCGTTGCCCACGGAGTTCTCCTTGCTGGGTGCCCCTGCCCCGCGCCCCACCGACATGTGTCCCAACCCTCCTGACCACGGCGGCAGGCCAGCAGGTGAGTGGGCAGGTCACGCGCGGGGCCTCTGGCCCTCGGGGTCAGTAAAGACGCCCCAGAGGGTGGCGTGGCCGACACACACACTAACACGAGCAACAAGGACAACAGCAACAGCCCGGCCACGAGCCAGGAGGCCACGGTTGGGTTCCTGGTCAGGGCAGGTGCCCGGGTTGCGGGCTTGATCCCCAGTAGGGAGCGTGCAGGAGGCAGCCAGTCAATGATTGTCTCTCATCATTGATGTTTCTCTCTCTCTCCCTTCCTCTCCGAAATCAATAAAATATATTAAAAAGAGTAACAGCAATAATGACAATAGCAAAGCATGAATAGCGCCCTCTTCGGGAAATGCCACTCCAGGCCCATCACGTCCGCTAATAACCGCACCTGTTCTGTCCTCAGCCCCTGACAGTGAGGAAGCGGAGAGGCTGCTGTCCGGGGCTGCAGGCCCCTGTGGCCCGTCTGTCTGAGTGCAGTGCCCCCCAAGCGGCCCCGAGTGCCCCGTGCGGCAGCCGGACCACGGGCTCACACCCGCGCAGTCTCCGCAGGCCCTCCAGGCAGCAGCAGAGCCGTGTACGGCCAGAAACCGAGGCGCAGCTGCGGCCCTGGGTGTGTTCGCAACCCAGCGGCCCTCCGAGAGGGGTCTGGGCTCCCCTCACAGGCGCCACCAGCTGCTGGCATCATGGGCAGAGGAGCACGGGGGGTAGCAGGTATGTGTGGGGGGCAGTGAGGCCCCAGTCCCGGTGTCCAGGGGCGTGGGCTGTGGTCAGATGGCAGCACCCCTCACCGCACCGCAGAGCGGCCAGGACCGCACACCCACCTGTTGGCTGACCGGCCTAGTGGCTGCGTGAGCGTCCCTCCTGCCCAGGCACTTTCCCGCGGAGCAGGCGGGAGGGGGCACATCCCGGGCGGAGGGACCAGGAGCCACAGAGTTGGAGTCTCGGCCAGGACTGGGGCCTCGCAAGGCAGTGGAGGCCAAGGATGTGCAGTGATGGGTCAGAGCAACACGCCACGCCCACCCGGGCGAACTGACACTCAGAGCGACAGCTCTCCGCACAGGGGGCCGAGGTCCGGGTGAGGGTTGTCGCCTCCTGTATAACTTTGCGACCCCCGTCGCCTGAGTCACCAGTGTCCCTGGCTGGCCTGGGACCACTCTCTTGGTAAATGGTGTGAGCAAGGCATCGCCCTTGCCCGGCGATGGGGATGACAGCACAAACTTGCTTTGCATCTGATTTTCCTGGCGGGGCAGACTGGCAGGCACCACAGGGCAGGCAGCACCCAGGCAAGCGGGCCGGAGCCAGGATGCTCGCTCCCTGCCCGGCAGCCGAGGGCCCGCTTCCTGTCCCCGGGAGCCTGTCTCCCTGGCCCTCACATCCTGAGTTAGGAGGGCACCGCTTCACAGGGGGCATCCCAGGTCCCGGAGCCCCGCCCCTGGCCTTAGGTGGGAAGGAGAGAATGGTAGGACAGAGCAGGGTGCTGGCGGCTGGGCAGGAAGCAGGGGGACACGGGGACAGAATCAGGGGCAGGAGCGGCTAGGGCAGGTCAGGGGGCCAGGGGCAGAGGAGTGGGACCACAGCACGACGCTGGTGGATGGGTGGGACGAGGACCCTGGCTCTCGGGGACCCACCGGCCTCACTCTTCACCCCTCCAGCGGCCCCCTTCCCACCGCGGCCTGCAGTGCTGCCACCATATAAGCTGGCACTTGGCTCAGAGTCTGCTTGCACCTCGCTGATCCCGGGCACCCAGCCCCCCAGCTGTGCACCTTCCCCCTCAGAGGAGAGGGCTTCCCTCCCGGGCTCCAGCTTGCTGCCCAGGTGCCGGGAGGGGCCTCCAGGGGAGGTGGCAGGGGTCTCCCGCCCGGAGAGGGCCCTCCATGCAGGCTCCTGCTCAGAAGGCCCCGTGCAGAGGCCCGCAGAGCTGGGACGGCCAGAAGTGTTCCCACGGCCACGCCTCCTCTCAGCCCTTGTCCCGGGCGGGCGGGCGGGCGCAGCTGCTGGGCCCCGGGAGGCGGCAGTAATTGCCCTGATGTGCTGGCCCCAGCGGCTGCTCTGCTAGAACATCTGCTTCCACTCCAGAGCGCGGCCCCCACGGAGGAGGGAGCAGATGGGGGAGGAGGCGGCACCAGGCCACCTGCCTGGACCAGGCCACAGGCCTCTGCAGCAGGTGCTCGGCCACCAGTCCAGCTGCATGACCCCAAGCCCAGCATCAGGTCACTGCTGTCTGTCCATCTCGGACCCTGTACCTCCTGGACCAGGCTCTGCCCTGCTGGGAGGCCCTGACATGCCACTGTCCTCTCTGGCCTCAGTTTCCCCTCTGCAGACACTGCCCAGCCTTGAATGGCCAGCCCGCTCATCTCTCACTTTCAGATCTTCGCCCAGAGGGGGATCCAGACCTGTGCCCGCCCTGGTGCCCATCCTGGTCCTCCCTGAGGCCTCAGAGCTGAGCCCCTCCAGCCCGGTCCTGGCACCCTTCCCTCCTCCCCGGAGGCTGAGGGTTAAAACAAAGCTCTCAGCGCCTGGCGCCCGGGGAGAACCGCGATAAAACTTATTAGCGGCGTTTTCTGCCCTTGGGAAGATCGCAGATTTCCCCAAGGCTCTCGCAAGAGCACTGAGCCCAGTGACCCCGCGGTGAGGCCGTTCCAGCCACAACCTGCGGCCGGGCGGGAGCCTCGGAGGCTTTCAGCCGGGCCGTGGCCGTGGCGCTGACTCAGCAGCGGGTCCTGCCGGGACTTGTGTTAGTCGGAGCCACGCACTCCGCTGGCCCTTTGCTCCGAGTCCCCACTTCCCTCCACACAGCAGCTCCTCCCCTCCCCGGGCGCTCACGGCGGACACGGCCTCCCCGGGCTCAGAAGGCCGGCGGCTCCTGGGCGGTGGGCTCCCTGCGCACGTGGCCTGGGAGAGTGGCCGCCGACGTGGCAGGCCCAGGGCAGAGCGGCTCCCAGCAGCAGTGGCTGTGACCACAGGGTAGTCGGGCAAGCAGCCCAGCTCTAACCCACAGCACCAGGCCCGCCCCACGGCCGCCACCCGCCAACCCCGGTGGGGCGCGGGGGAAGGTGGGGTGAACCCTGGGACGCCCACCCCAGAGGCAGCCCGAGCACCACCGCCCACTCCCGTCCTAGGAAGGTGCCACGTCTCCTGGCCAAGCCCGCGGTTCGGCTCCCCGCCACCCCGCCTCGGCTCCTGCCCCTCCCCTGCAGCCGCAGGGTCCCGGCCTCCACCACCAGGGGGAGCCAGCAGCCGGAGACCCAGGGAGGAGGTGGGGGCGGGGTGGTGCTGGGGAGCATCTGTTTCTGAAAAGCAGCCTCAGCCAGGGCCGTTGGGGGAGGAGCCTGGACCCTCACCCATCACCCGCCCGGAGCCTGGGAAGCCCTGGGTCTGCGGAGACACAGCGCCAGGAACAATGGGAACGGGAGGGGGAGGGGAGAGGGAAGGGGAGGGGGGAGGGGGGCCGCCAGACAAAGGCCCTGGGAGCCCCGCCCCCGGCAGCTCTTCCTTCCTCCAGGTGCTGCTTGGGCCCTCACTCCCTAGAAGGGGCTCCGCGTGGGTCTGCGCTGCGGGTCTTGGATGGGCCTTGCCTTCCCCCAGGTGCCCCAACAAACCCGGAACCTCCCCGGGAAGTGCCAACAATCGGGCCAGGCCTGCCTCTGCCAAGTCAGCGCTCTCTGTGCAAGAGGAACTGGCCGGCCAGACAGACAGAGGGCTTGCAGGGCAGGACGGTCTCCCCCGGGGCCTGACCACTGTGCAGGGGAAACTGAGGCAGCGGGTCGGAAAGGCCGCCTGGAGGAGAGGAGGCCCTGAGCCTGTGCTGTTGGACCTTAAGGCGACAGGTCTCACCCTACAGCAGCCCGAGATGCCAGAACGTTGCACTCTTCTTCCCCCTGCTTCTTCATTTAAGGGGCCCCTTTGCTGTTTTCAAAGAACCTAACCCCCCACTTCTCAGTCACTATGGTGGCCCCAGGTGAGGTGCCCAGTGCCCTGAGGGAGTGTGCCAAGCCCCAAGCCTGCCTGGAGCCCCCCTGGTCCTCACTCACCCCAAACTAGCCCAGGGTCTCGCCCAAGCCGGCAGCTTGCTGAGTCCCCA